TATGTGTGAGTATGTTTCATTTACACACTCACACGCAAATGCACTCATACGACCTAATACAGTTGCGAGCCCCGTAAAACACTTGCCCCCAAAATTAATTATTTAATTAATTAATTAAACAATCAAACGCACACATACAACAGTAACTGGATTAGGCCGTGGGGTCGCAAAAGCAAGGCATTCCTAAAACGTTGACCATGAACGTGTTTTGGTTACTGGGTCTCTGGAGAAAGTGTGTCATTTACTTTTCCCCCTTTGTCTGGGCTGGTAGAGAACTAGCCCTCTCTAAAAAGTGTCCGCGAGCTCTTGTTTTTTTCGTTTACCTTTTTTCAAGAAGAGTTTCATTAAGAAAGGACCGTGGGAATGGGCTCATCCTTTGCTGAGCCCTAAAAAACATTTGGTTGTCTGTTAGGTTACTATTATCGTTGTAAGCGGTGTTTACAGTAGTTGGATAAACGATCAAGCGTGTGTGTTCACCGCATGCAACTAAAGGCGGAGGCGGAAGATTCTGAAACAGTTCTAACGGTTTTAACTGATTATCTCGTTTATTAGAAGAAACATTCATTTACGGAGGAAAGGAGGGAAAGAGTTGGTCCTTTAACCCTTCACTATGACCCGCCACTGGTTGTATTGTGCCGAAATGGAATCTGTCTTCCCACCCAGGAATGAAAATCTGGAAGGTCTCAGTTCAGTCCACAGGATCTGATCTGGTTGGTCGTGTGCGTAAGGTATTACGTCTCCCAGTCATCAGTAGATCTATGTGTAAAGTCATAATTCAACGGACATAGTGCTTTACCCCCTCCCCCCGGGCAGCTCCACTGACTGATGTGTCTTGCCAGTTTGGCAATTTTTATCGAAATTTTGATTTAGGTTAAACACCTTTTAAAATGTTCATATGGAAACACACGTCCATGTGAATTCTACCGAAAAACATAGTTTCAAAACACAAGATAAGTAATTTTCAGTTTTCAAGGACTCTTAATCTATTGAAGTTACCAAATTATTTTGGCGGTCATTTTCTCATTAATTTAAACTACTAAAACCAGGCTATCCCACCTTTTTCAATTGCAAACATCTTGACTTCTGTTCAAGCTAGAAGGAAATTCTTTTCACAGAAAGTAAGGAAAATAAATAAGCTTTCAGATGATATCAATAACTTCACACGTCCAAAAATTGACGAGCGCGTGATTCCAACACGTCTTGACACATTGTCATATTTTGACTGACG